AGGGATTTTGTACTTTTAGGTATTAGGTTTACTAAATACCATATCTGTCTCTTTGCGCAAATTATTTCCTTTACTTATGGCTTTTTGCATTATCCAGTCTTCTTAATATCTTGTATAGATTATTGCCTGAATTTCTCTAAACTCACCAAGCTATCTTCTAAATGTCAGAAGGCGTTTTATTTCTTTGCAGTAATTTTGATTTGGATTTCAGTCCTTGCTTATGTTTTGGGAGAACCAGGTATCTACCAAAGCCTGAAGACACAGAATATTTCTTACCAATGTCCTGTCTATGTCAGCATTCAGAGTTACTGCCTGTCACTTTCCATGATGATAATTTTATTCATGGCTTTTATAACCTCTTGGTCAGAAGTTATTACCTTGGTACAGGCTATTCAAATAACTTCCTGTATGAATGAGCCTATCTTGTATTTTCCTTCTTCATCCCTCCCTAGTTACATTGTAAACTCTAAAAGAATATTCTTGCCCAAGCTCGTTGTCTGTTTTCTTGGTACCTGGTTACCATTTGTACTGCTTCAGGTATTCATTCTTTTACTTAAAGTACAGATTCCTGCAAATATTGAGTTGAACATTCCCTGGTTGTACTTTGTCAATAGTTTTCTCATTGCCACCATTTGTTGGTTTAATTGTCACAAGCTTTATTTAAGAAATAAATACCTCATTACCCATAGATCCATTTGTCAACTGGAAATGCTGCTTCATTCCACTTACAATGCATAATTTTGGACAAATTGAAAAGCCTATATCAATAATAATTTGTTAATATGTTACCATCTTAAAACTAAACCAATTACAATAACATCATAATCTTAGAAACAGGAAAGAATGGTGACTCAGGACATACCAAAAAGTGGCACTAAACAAGCTCTTTTTCCCCTCTAACCGTTTATACTTTTCCAGCATACTTTTGGGGTTATGATATAGTTTATTAAATGTTTTCTTTTAAAAACAAGAAGTTCTTATGCTTATTCAGGACTACCGTATAAATAAATTTGTTATTAATAAAAAAAAGAAGTTATAAACCTACAGCTATGAAGAATACAATGACTACTAGCTCATTTTGTTGCCACTACTTTGATTTGTTAAGATACAGCAGCTTTATCATGTTTTGCACCACTGATGTATCAATAAAATGAAAGAAACAACCATCATCTTAGTATTATTATGAAAATAATTTTGATCCCCGGGACTCTTGTGGTCCTGTTTATACTTTGAGAGCTGCTATTCTAGAATGGAAAAGGATTACCAGTAAGCCTGAGATATAATGTCATGGGATTTAATGTAGATAGATTCTTGAGAGAAAAGGAAATACATATAGATAAAGCCAGTGATGTCAGCTTTTGTGTACCGGATTAATAGTAGAATAGATAAGTCCTAAGGAAATATAGAAGGGGGAAAGATGACATTATAGAATAAGTGATATTTAAGTGCTCAATAAATATTTATTAAATGAATTACTAATTCAAAATAATAATAGAAATGTTTTTATTTTATAATTAAGATATCTTTAAAGCTTATGCCATTTCATACAGTTTCTTTACATAGTGTTCATGATGTCTCTGTAAAGGAGTTCGTCTGGTAGACTTTTTCATTCTGTAGAAAGACCATGAACATGATTCCAAATATAGGAAATCACCTGTTCTGATGTCTCTACACTGAGCAAAGGGGGTGATTTAGGTGGTGAAAGGAAGGGGAGGTTTTGCAAATGGTCTCCAGGGACTGTTCTGAACACTTCTCATGTATTCGCTTACATACCTTCTTAAGAGTATTGTCACTGAAAAAAAAAAAAGAGTATTGTCACTGGATACTGATATTCCACGTTTATAGATAAGGAAACTGAGATGGTAAGAGGTTAAGTAGATTGCTTCAGATTACATTGTTATTAAGCACAGTAACAAAAAGGATGATAATCTGGCACAGAGAGCTATTATATTGGTATACTCGTTCCTGTTTCTCTTCTGTCTTTCATGAGCAATACTGCTAATCAAGATGTTACAGGGGAAATAATGTAACTCTCAATCTGCTAGATGGCAGATACACTGGGTTCATCTTCCCCAAAATTGAAGAATGAATTCTAAGGAACAACGGAGGTTATGAGTAGGAAAAATTTATTAAGAGAGATAGCTCCTGAGAGACAGGAGACCTGAAAGTGGTTTGCAAACAAGCCCACTTCTCAAAGGAAGTTTTATAGAGCAAAATCACAAGGTGGGTACAGCATAGGTCAAAACTGTGATCAACCAATAAGATTACAAGTATAGCCACTTAGGTAATTTTGACCCACTAGGGAAGCAGGTCACATAGCAAGTCTACTTGGAAAGAACAGGGCCTTCTTAGGAAGGAATGGGTCAGGAGGTCCTTATCACCCACCTAGTGACTGATGTCTATTTAGTCTTTATTGAAGTAAGTGATACCAATTATCTTATCCCTTCGGGAGGTGTGTAGGCCTGGTCATTCCGTCTTTATCTTGAGATCTGACCTTTAACAGATGCACCTTTAGCCACAGTTGCAATGTGTTCTCATCCTTTGCACTGATTCCCTCAAGGGCCTAACCCTGTCTTACTGCCTATATTTCTACCTAATTTAGCTGTCTATAATAAAGATTTTTCTTTTTAGCCTCCAGATTAAAAAAGATTTTATTTTTAGAGCAGTTTTAGAGTCATAGCAAAATTAAACAGAAAGTTTGGGTAGTTCCCATATACCTCTTGCCCCCAGAACAAACTCCCCATCATCCTACATGTAAATATTACATTTGTTGTGAAGATGAAACTACACTGACACATCATTATCACTGGAAGCCTATTGTTTACATTAGGAATCATTCCTGGTATGGTGCATTCTCTGGGTTTTGACACTATGTAATGACACATGTTCACCATTTTAGTATCACATAGAATACAGTAGTTTTATTGCCCTAAAAATTTGTGTTCCACTTGTTTGTCCCTATTTATATCTCACTCTCATTCTTGCCTCCTGGAAATCACTGATTTTTTTTTTTTTACTATCTCCTTAGTTTTACCTTATCCAGAATGTCATATAGTTGAAATCCTACAATACGTAAGCCTTTTCAAATTGGCATTTTTACTTTTTAATATTCATTTACATGGGGTTGAAGGTGTAGTTCAGTGGCAGAATGCTTGCCTAAAGTGTGCGAAGCCCTAGGTTCAATTCCTAACAGCGCACACTGTTCATTTACATTTTCTCCATGTCTTTCATGAAGTGACAGCTCATTTCTTTTTGGTGTTGAATAATAGTCCATATTCTGAATGTAGAATAATTTGTCCACTCTGGTCACTTGAAGATTATTTTGGTTGCTTCTAACTTTTGTTACTTATGAATGTTACCATAAACATCCCTGTGCATGATTTTATGCAGACATAGTTTGCATGCTCATTTAAGTAACTACCAAGGAGCATGATTACTGAATATTATGGTAAGAGTATGTTGAGTTTTGTAAGAAACTAGCAAAATGGCTGTTTCCATTTGCATTCCCAACAAAAGTAGATGAGGGTTTTTGTTGCTCCACGTCCTAGTCGAATTAAGTATTATCATTGTTATGGTTTATATCAAAAATGTCCCTAAGAGCCTTATACACTTAGAGGTCGGGCTTTGGAAAGTGATAGAGTCATAAAGATCACTGCAGGTGTGGCCAGGAAGGGTATATCTCCTTCCCTGGCTGGTCTGGTCTCTTCCTGCTCTTGTTCCTGGCTCATGAAGTGAGCAGCTTTCCTCTGCTCAGGCCCTTCCACCATGCCCCTGACAATGCGAGGTCTGAAACTTCTGAAATGTGAGCCAGAATAAACCTCTCTTCCTTTAACTTGTGAATGTTGGGTATTTTGTCCATGACAAAGAAAGTGACTAACACAGTCATTGTTCCTGATTTTGGCCATTATGTTAGATATATAATGGTGACCTCCATTTTGTTTGTTTTATTTTTATTAGTTTTTCTGTGGTGCTGGGGATCAAACCCAGGGTCTTGAGCATGCTAGGCAAATGCTTTACCACTAAGCTATACCTGCAACCCTTCCTTATTTTAATGTGCATTTCCCTGATGACATATGATATAGAGTGTCTTTTTGTATGCTAATTTTATATCTTTATATCTTCTTTGGTGAGGTGTCTATTTAGGACTGTGGCCCATTTTTGAATCAAGTTCTTTAGTGATGAGTTTTAACTTCTTTGTGTATTTTAGATAACCGTTCTTTATTAGATACATCTTTTGCAAATACTCTACTTTCTTCCAGGATGTAGCTAGTCTCATTATCTTTTTTTTTTTTCTTTGATTGTTTTGAGACGGGCTCGTAATGCAGTTGAGGCTGGCCTTGAACTCACTATGTAACCCAGACTGGCCATTACTCTGCAGTCCTCCTGCCTCAGCCTCCCGAGCACTAGGCCTGGCCTTGACAGTGTCTTTCACAGAGCAGAAGTTTGTTTGTTTTTTTTTTAGAAGTTTTTAATTTTAATGAATCCAGCTTATCACTTCTTTCATGGATCACACCTTTGATACTGTATCTAAAAAGTTATTTCAAAACCTAAGGTCATATAAGACTATTCTATTGTTATCATTTAGAAGTTTCTTTGGTTTAACATTTTAAAAATATTTAGGTGTGGGATCCATTTTGAGTCAATTTTTGGGAAGAGTTATGAAGTCTAGATTCCTTTTTCGGTTTTGTTTTGTTTTGGTTGTGCATGTCTAGTTGTTTCAGCCCCATTTGTTGAAAACATTGTCTTTTTTAAATTGTATTTCTTTTACTTTTTGTTAGCTCTAAATGTGATCTATCTTGGTGAACAATTCATTATACTGAATTGAAAAGGCCTTAGATTCATGGGGAAATACTTTAATCATTCTCTTTTCCACCAGTGATACATACTTCTTACTTTATTTCCAACTTACTGCTTGTTTTGTACTCATGGTTATAAAAAAGTTCCTCATTTTGGTGCTGTTTTCTTACATATGCCAACCTTGGTCTCAGGAATATAATCTCAGAATGGCACCTGTAGAAAACCTAGGCTATCTTCATGTCTTAGTTACATTCTCATCAATGAGATACAATAGTTTAACCCAAAGGTAAAAGAGGAGAAGTTTATTTTAGCTCACAGTTTGTAGAGATTTCAGTCTATAGTCAGCTGGCTTCAAGGTAGAGTGGCATGACAGAGGGGCTTGGCAGTCATAAACCCCCACAATCCAGTCATCTGCCAAAAGCCCCACCTGTGAGCACATGAGGCTTTGGGGGACATCTAGATATAAGCAATAACATTTTAAAAAATATATATGCATGTTATTAAAAGCTTTCTCCATTATGAATGTGTATGTGAAATTTTTTATGTTGACTGAATTGACATACCACATCAGGTAGAAATTTTCAAAGATAGAAACATTAAGGAATAATTTTATTACATTTTAAAATGTGACAATTTTTTTTTTTTTGTCCCATTTAGTTTTGTCAGCCTGCTGGATGGCAGCTGTCCAGAGAGAGGAAGCAGCCGACATTCTTCGTGGTCGTACTAACAGATATTGACTCTGATAGACATTACTGCTCATGCTTAACCTTCTATGAGGCGGAGATCAATCTTCAGGTAAAAAAAAAAAGGAACAGAAAAACTTTGCAAGCCGAAGTGCAGTCATATGGACAGCATTTAGGACTCTTTTTAATGCCATATTTGTTTTTGTTAAAACTACTACTTTGAATTTTATGGGCTACTCTGAAAACCGTGAGGAAAATTTATATGAGGCCAGCCTGAGCTACATAGTAAAACCTCTCTCCACAAATAAAGTTAA